ACACTAGCTGTTACCCGCGACTTCACCCGCGGAGGTTTTGCAAGCAAACCCCATTTATATTCAGTATTTCAACAACCATAGTAATTGTTATATAACACCTACTGCTGAGAATGATGAGAATTGCTGAGAATCAAACAAACTATTTTCAATTTGATCAATTTTCTGGAACATTTACAATCATTCTATATAATCCAACCAATATGCAATAACAAATTCAAATTTAAAACGGTTTGAACATTTGGTTAAAAAATCAAAATATATAAAAATATTTATAACAATGGCTGAAATGTTATCAATTTAATACACCTAAGTACTCAATGAAAACTAAACATAGTTGAAAACAAAAATTGCATCTAAAATAGTACAGTAGAAGCCGTTCTTCAGGTTAATCCTTAATGTTCTCCCTCCCCATGGGGAAATTTTGAAAAATCCCTTCTTAGTGTGCATTTTCATGACTTGGTTAAAAAATATTTATAACAATGGCTGAAATGTTATCAATTTAATACACCTAAGTACTCAATGAAAACTAAACGTAGTTGAAAACAAAAATTGCATCTAAAATAGTACAGTACAAGCCATTCTTCAGGTTAAGCCTTATTCCTCTCCCTCCATGGGGGAATTTCAAAAAATTCCTTCTTAGTGTGTGTTTCCATGATTTTGTAACTGTGTACAAAATTTCACCTCTAGGTTCAGCAATTTGCCTTGGGTAATGATGAATCAGTCAGTCAGGACNTGGAACAGATTATGTTCGTTAACCGATCACCCACTGTATATATATTAGAATAATTTATATATTTTTTAAAAAAACTGAGTCTGTATTGCAGAAATTCTCGCTCAAATCAATCAGAAAAGTATATTCTTATACATAATTATCAGATAATATGTACAGTAATTTAAAATGGCAACATTTATTTTGGAAGATCCATAATTTAGAATCATTTCACAATAACAATAGCATAAATGCTTCATAAAATTAATTTTTTTATTTACAGTTTAACTTAGATAAAATTATGGTTTATAAGAAGAAATATGAAACAACCTGTATTTTTTGAATAATATATCTTGATTCCAGTATAGATCATAAATTAATTGGTGTAAATTTTAAAAAATGAGAATTGTCTATTTTTGAAAATTAAATTAGCATTCCAGTTTTGTGTTCAGTAATATTATGCATTTGTTTTCATTTCTTTAATTATTTAAACTTTTTAGGCTTTAAAATGAAATTGTTTAATGAAATATTCCACACTTACACATGTCTAAATGTAAAATGCCACTAAAACTGAAATATGTGATAATTTTAGAGGATTTCTAAAACATGTTAACTTTGTTTTTTGACTTTCATGTTTAAAATTTGGAATATATAAGATTTGAATTATTTAAAGTTCTACTAAAAATATGATTTGTAAGTATTAAAATATTTGACTATAAAGGTCTAAATAATTTTTAAAGTGACACCATTTCAAACGATATGAAATGATTAAAAAATACCAATGGAAAAAACTTAATTATTTTTGGATCAAATTTGAGTTCTGTAGAAGTTATTCGCTTTAAAATAATGCAATTATAAGTGAAGAAGTGCGTGCCATCACTGCAGCTATTTTTAGTAACAACTGGCGGGAAAATTGAAACCAGAAATCATGCGTGCTATAGTGCCGATTTGACACCAATTCTTAAATTAAATTAATGAAATGCTTTATGCAAAAACTGAATTGCGCATCGTAAAATTACAACCTGACTAATTTTTCAAATAGAAAAAATATATTTCCTTTGGGACTATATATATAATTGAGTCAATCTTCATTTGTCCTTTCACACACTTTGCAGGCAATAACAAATTTACGGTGATACAGACCTTTTATTTGAGGCTACATGTTCGCCGTCCAATGTAAATGAGTTAAAAAAGTCTCTAGCAGTGGCCAGTACTATTATTAAATAAATAAATATATTAAAGATAAATTTGCCACGACGAATTCACAAATAGAAAAAATATAATATATTTCCTTTAGGACTATACATGTAGCCTCAAATAAAAGGTCTGTATCGCCGTAAATTTGCTATTGCCTCCGCAAAGTGTGTGAAAGGACAAATGAAGATGACTCAATTATGTGTATAGTCCTAAAGGAAATATATTATATTTTTTCTATTTGTGAATTCATCCTGGCAAATTTATTTTTAATGTTTTCTGACTAATTTTTCCTTTTTTTTCAGATTTTTCAAACAATTGAAATTTTTACACTAACTAATTAGAAATCGATTGGTGCCTAAATGACAGCGAGTGGGTGTCGATGAGTTAAGCTAGCCCATTGTGGATTCGGCCAGGCCCACAATGAGGTGGCTGGGTGGCAAGGGACGGGACCCAACATATCCGGACGGACCACCCCTTGAAAAATTCCTGGCAATTTTTTAACCCGCTAGGATTTGATCCAAGGTCCCCCAGAAAAATAGGCTGCAACCTTAACTGCTCAACTAAATGGCTGAGTTTTGTAGCAATTGATTCAATGGCTTAATAGCATACATCAAACAAACAAACAAAAATCCTCATTATTTATATATATACACTACCTGTTACCTGCAAAATCAGCACCTGCTTTGCACGTGCTGATTTTGCAAGCAAACCCCATTTATATTCAGTATTTCAACAACCATAGTAATTGTTATATAACACCTACTGCTGAGAATGATGAGAATTGCTGAGAATCAAACAA